ACCCTAACCCTAACCCTAACCCTAACCCTGAACCCTAACCCTAACCCTAACCCTAACCCTAACCCTAACCCTAACCCTAAGCCTAACCCTAACCCTAACCCTAACCCTAAGCCTAACCCTAACCCTGAGCCTAACCCTAACCCTAACCCTAACCCTGACCCTAACCCGTGACCCTAGCCCTGACCGAGACCGTAACCCTAATCCTAACCCGGTAACCCTAACCCTAACCTCTGACGCCTAACCCTGGCCCTAATCTTAAAGCTGATCTTAACCCTGAGGCGGGCCTCGAGGCTGATCTTACTGAGGAGGCGGAGGCGGAGGACGGGGGACCTGGTGAGGGGGAATGAAGCCACTCCGGTCCGCCGGAAGCCCGAGGGCCGAAGCGGATGCGGGAGCCTGGGGGCGGGGGCGGCAGCCGCAGGGGCAGCAGCAGGACCGGGCGGCGGTGGGATGCTGGTTTGTGGAGGGGCGGGGCCGGCAGCGGCGTGGGCGGGGGCGGCAGCCACAGGGGCAGCGGGTGCAGCAGCGGCGGCGGCGGCGGCTGGGTGGACAAAGCCAGCCTGTGGAGCAGCAGCGGCGGCAGCGGCGGCGGCGGCTGTGATGCGCCTTTGCTCGCGGTGCAAGAAGAAGGCAAAGATAGGGCCACTGGAAGAGAGGGGAGCACGAACTGCTGGAAGACGTTGACAATCCAGGTAAAGAGAGGCAGCACCACCTCCTCGGTGGTTGGGTGATACTGCTCACGGCCGTACTGCATTCGAATGGTCCGGCAGCCAAACTGCCTGATGGCAGCTAGACCACCAGGGTCGTTCGGGTGAGGAATAGGGTTGTTCTCGTCCTCGGTGAAGGTCCCGCAGAGCGCCTGGGCAGCAGTTGCGGCCCCAAACTCACCACGCCGCTCGGGGCTGAACTCAGCTGCCCGGCCGCCCGCTGTGGCTCCGAGGGCGGGCGGCAGCGCCGCCACCGCCGCGACCACAGCCCTCCGCTTCTTGGCCGCCGGCGGGAGGTCGTCCTCGCCATCGTCGCCCGCCGCCAGGCCGCCGGGGTGCGCATCGCGCCACTGGCGAACGCGTTTCCGCGACGTGGGCTCCTGAGAGGCCCTCTTCTTAGGCTGGCGGAACGGCGCAGCACCACGCTTCCGCTTGGCGCCCACGCTGGGAGCGCCTGCCGGCTGTCCGGCGCCCATCTGCACCAGGGACTCGGCGGCGATGCGGTCCTTGGCCTGCACGCCGTTCTCGCCCTTGCCACCCTTGCGGTCCCTCTTTTTGCCGTACCCGTGCCTCCCTATGCCCTTCGTAGGCGCGCGCGGCATAAAGGTACCTATTGAGAGCGCGACACGACTACTGAGCTGCCACCGATGCGATGGCGGCACACCGCGCCACTTTGTGTGTGCCGCCGGCAACTGTCCCGCCTCAGGGCGTGCTCTCGAAGGCGGCAAGATGTACCTTTTCGCGCCGATGACACAAATCAAGGTTTTGTAACGCGCGGTGTGTCACTGTGAAATGGCACTAGCCTTTAGCCAAACCCGGCTGGGCGTTCCAAAGTGCTGCTCGCGCTTTTTCCACATTCCACAGTCGCAGAGCCACACATGGTCCGAGCGTCCGTCTCTCGCCACCTCGAGCACTCACGCTTCACCTCCCCTTCTTCCCTCCCTCCCCCCCTTCCCCTCCCACCACCGCCTGAAACCGCGGCGCCCTCGCCGCCAGCCCTACAAACGCCGCCAGCCCAAACCCCAACGCCAGCGCCAGCAGCCCCTCGACCGCCCGCCTCCCGCCCTCCACGCCCAGCTCCTCCTCCTCTCCGCCCAGCCCCGCGAGCTCGCCCGCCACCGCACCGTCCCACGCGACGCGGACGATGCTCGCGCGTGGCACCCACCGCAGCGGCCGCGGCAGCGTCGCGGCGTCAAAGTACAGTCCGCCAAAAACGGTCGAGAGGGTCGTGAGCGCCTTGGTGAGCTCGAGGCCAATGTCGAGGCTCGGCGCGACAGCGCCCGCGAGGAGGCCGAGCGCGCTCGCCGCCATGGCCTCGAGCGCCAGCAGCGCGACGAGGACGGGCAGGGGGCAAGCGAGGCCCGCCAGCGGGTGCGTCACGCAAACGAGCAGCGCGGGGAGCAGCAGCGTCACCGGCAGCTCCGCCGCCACCTTGCCGAAAAAATATGCTCCCAGACGGAGGGCGCCAGCGGCACGCTCGCGGCGCACGCACGCGCCCTCCCCATCCTGCAGCGTGCGCACGGCCTTCATCGCCGCCGTCACCCCTATTCAGCGCGCACGCGTGAAGCGCCGCTCCACACTCCGCCTCGGGTCAAGCGATTTTGGTGTGCCGACAAAGTTGGCCAGCACCTGCAGCAGCCCGACGCGGGCCTTGAGCGAGCCGCGGCCCGCCGGAAGGTCGAACCAGATGCAGCCAAAGGCGAGCCCGGGCACCACGGAACCGACGACGCGCATCGCGAGCAGCGACGGCGCCGCAAACCCGCCCGACTGCCTCCAGCTCCGCCACAGGCACCAGCCGAGCTGCGCACTCCAACCGGACTGCCGCGCCGGCGCGAGCGGCGCGAGCGGCGCCTCCTCCACCAGCCGCGCCGTCGCCTCGGCCGTCGCCTCGCGCCAGCGCAACGCCAGGCGAGCGACTCGCGCCTTGCTCGCCTCGGCCGCGTCCGGGTCGACCGACGCAATGTCGAGCGCCCACTCTGCCGGCGAGAGGAGGGGCGGCCGCGCTACGCCTGTTCACAGCTGCAGGTGTGAAG